ATGACGAAAGAGCGTCAGGCCAAGTACTGCAACCTGTGCGAGCAGACGGTGCTGCGCCTCAAGCTCATCTTTTCATCGACCCTGATGCAGCAGAACTTCCAGGGCAGCCTCGACTTCGACCACAACAAGCAGATGCTGCACATCAGGGTGAGTTGTCGGTCGGTCCCCTGCACGTGACGACGAACCTGGCATAGTTGGAAGATGTCCCGTATGTGAAGCAATGCAGAAGCTCAAAGACCTCGGGAACAGTGATGCACCTACTAAGGAGTGTTTGGCTCATAGTTACGCATCAATGGACAGCTCAGGCCTGCTAAAGTACAAGGCATGTAGTCGGGCTAGTTGGTAGTGCATACTTGCTTGGTGGAAACTGCGCTAAAAAACGTAGGACCAGGACGCGGAAACACACAGGCAGGGCGCGAACTTACGACTGAAAGTTTCTTGCTGTGCAAAAACAAATAAACACAAAAAGGGGAAAGAGAAGAGGACAAAAAAAAGCAAACTGATAACATCCGGCATCTGCCACACCTACATATAGTCACACGAACCTGCCACAGTTTTCAGTAATATCTACCTCGTCTGGAGTGCTTGCACGTGAGTCCACTCCATGAGATGCCATAAAATATGCTTCGTCTATCTCTCTCGCAGTCTTGTTTCTGTGTCGAGACAAAATCTTAATGTTGTGGGATGACGATGAGCAGCCACACCTACTACAGTTGAACCTCGATGTAACGAAGTCGGTAAAATTCGCAATTTACTTCGTTACATTGAAATTTCGCTAAATCGAAATTTGGCTTTAGCATGCGAAAAAAAATTCCGAAACATTTTACGGGTATGAAAACTCACCGAAAATGACATTTATTTAGGGGCGAAGTAGTCCGCGAGTTTTGCTTGCGCCTTATCCGACAGTAGCAGCGGCGTCATACGGCGTTCGAGCGCCCAGAGCGCTTGCACGGCATCCTGCTGCCCATGCGACGCCGTGTACCTCCTCAGTACGTCCATTGCGTCGAGCACTTCCCGAGTGCTCGTGATCTCGGCAGTTTCTTCAGGATGGCGTCCAAAACGTTTGCTTTCTCATCCAAAGAAAGAACTTTACGTTTCCTTATGGCAGCAAGCACGTAAGTGAACCGCCCGGTTAAAAAATAAAGCTGTTTAGTTTAGGCAGTTTAGGCGGTGCCAATGTTTCCAACCTACACAGCACTCTTCACCGCACAGTTTACTTGCCCCCTTGCCACCCTTGCGCCCACAGTGATGCTTGCGCCGCTTGCGCCCACGCTCGCAAGACGATAATCGGTCTTTTCGGTCTTCTCTTAGATGGCACTGCCCGTGCAGTCGCGCCATCACGTCGCTCCCCCGCTGAAGTTGGCTCCCGCGCTACCCGCGGTGCAGTGGAGTGGACTATGGTTATCAGTGAATGTCAGTGGTGATGCTGGTATGCCGTGTTAACTTTTTGCTCGGCATTTTCTGGCCAGCCTCGCGGAATCCGCTTTGCCGCATGCCTCGCCGGCGCTACCGGCGCCGCATCCTCGGGCAGCCTGGGAACGTTGAAAGGCCTGTCCCCGTGAAGTAACCTATCAAGCGCTCGCGTTTGCGCATAATTTTTTTTTTTTTAACCACAATTTTTTTGCGAAGTTGTTTTTTAGAGTTGATTTATTTATTGCCTTCTATGGCAATGGCACTTCGTTATAGACTTAGACTTCGTTATATAGAGACTAAAAATACATGGGGTCTATGGGCAAGAAATTATGAAAAATAAAATACTTCGTTAAATCGAAGATTTCGTTACATTGAAGTTCGTTATATCGAGGTTACAATGGTCAGCTACGTTCCCCAAGGGCGAGAGGCACAGGATGTTATCGCTTTGCTTTTTTGTTCCCTTCCCTCCCCCTCTTTCTGTAGTCATTTCTATTTTTGCGCAGCAATAAACTTTCAGTTTTAAGTCGGTGCCCTGTCTTTGTGTTTCCTAATCCTGGTCCTACGTTTTGTAGCCTGTTCACACTGAACTGCTAAAGTAGTGCTTAAACTGGAAAAACATTTCACTCTGGGTCGACGATATTCGGGGAACTTCAGAGGTTACTGTGAGAGACCTCAGAATTCCTAGGAACCCACTTGGAGAACCCATGCTCTGCTCATGTGAAGGGAAGTTTTTGAGAAGCGGGCAAAGATCCTAATATCTTTACAAGAAATCATCAAAGTTCAGTATAGACCACTTACAGCGTAACCGTTTATAGTGCAGGGCCGGGTATAATGCGGCTTTTTTAAACCACCAATTCGCCTCCCATAGAACTCCATGTAATTACATACCGCTTAAAATGCAGGCGTGCGAAGGGAAATACCGGTTATAGTGCGGTTTCTGGAACAGCCCGCCGACCGCGCCGACCAACCAGTGCAGCGAGCACGCTTCCCTGTGCGACACTAGATAACGGCGCTGGCTGCAAGCGCACTCGCGGGGCAAGGAAATTGCTCAAAGAAGCGGGGAGAAGCGAAGAAAGAGGCTTCAGTTGCCATAGCGACGAAGGGACGCGCGGGGAGAAGCGAAGAAGGAGGCTTCAGTTGCCATAGCGACGGAGGGACGCACGCATGTGTCGTTCACATGCGTGCGTCCCTCCGCTGCGTTGGAGACAACCGCAACGACAGACCAATCGCAGGTCGAGGAGAAGTGTTTTCACGTGCTTTGCATGCCTGTCGCAGGCCGGCTTCTTCTATCCGCAAACGTGGCGTCGGTTGTGATTGTCGACGTAGACTGCGTGGTGAAAGCTCATCGTTCCGCGTAAAAGCGCTATCCTTGACTGTGAATTTTCGTTGTGTGTCGCTGTGATAACCCAGCACGTACTAGAAGGGAAGATCCACCTACTCGTGCGGCGTTGTCGTGGCGGCACTCTCAAGACGGCAGAAACGCCCGTGTCGTCGTGTTTGTTTACTTCGACTACAGTGGTGCTTTCTAAGCATTTGTGTTTTCGAACATCGCCCGGATTTCTTATTTGGAGCATTTCATGCCTGTGCTAAAGTTGAAGGTATTACTGGCGCGTATCGTATAAAGGATGCGAATTTTCACGCGTTTTCATCATAGGAGAAAAGTGATTAGGGTTAGCAATCCTGAACGCTCGCACTGTCCGTCCGCAACCCGCGACGCCATTAAAAGGCTGCGCCAGGCAAAAGTCGCTCATTTCTTTCAAAATGTGTGACACACTTGAGAGAGAAGTGTACTAGTCTGGTGAAATAAAGACTTTCCTCAAACTAAGCTTTATTTTTCATCTAAAATAAAATAAATTATTTCACAAAGGTAAGTTGTCTCATGGCATGTATTTTGGCCTGAAAAATTTATGTTTTGGTTATAACGCGGTACCGCTTATAGTGCGGATTTTTGCGACTCCCGCGACATACGTTATATGCGGTCTACACTGTATTATTTTAATTTTTTTTTACACAATTAGTTTGGGAAACTTAGAATTTCCACGGGAATTTCGAAACGTCAGGAAAGTAGAGAAATCGTGAGGGACGTAGTTGGCTAACACAGAAAAACTTACCAGAGAGAGTGGTGCGGCAGTGCGTAGCAAAAGACGAGGACGCCGCATGCAGGGATGTGGGTGGCAGTGAGAACCTTCTTACCGTATTTATTCGAATATAAGGCAAAGTTTTTTTTTACCAAAATCCGTAGTCTCAGAGTCATACCCCGCCTTATATTCGAAGCTCTGTATAGCAATATGACGATTTTTTTTCTTTTTCTTGGGTCCTTCAACTGCCCCCTCGCCTTATATTCGTAACCGCCTTATATTTGAATAAATACGGTATTTGAAGAAGTCTTTCATTGCACTCAGTTCCACTTGCTCAACACAGGCCACTCATCGAATAAATGGGAACAGCCTCTCTAACTCTATCTGTTACGACGCCGCAAGAACGTGACGATAGCGGCTGGTAATCAACGTTTATTCGTGCGCAGCTTGCGCTTTATATGGTAGACAGGCAAGGGGAAGGCGAGAGGGAAAGGGAGAAAGAAGGTGGAAGATAAGATGACAAGCGCCACTGTGCTTGTGGCGGCGTAGCCGATCTGCAACAGTCTTCTCCCTCCTAGGGAGAAAACCGCACTGGGGCTCTCCTGGTTCGAGTCGGTCGCTGCAGGCCTGGCGCTGCCTCCGGCGGCGGGAGACGTGACGGACTGGAAGCACTTTCCGGTGGACTCTCGGGAAGCCGGGGCTTGACTTGATCGAGGTGTCTGTGAAGGACGTCTCCCTCGTTGCCGTCGGCGGTGACCATGCGTGCGCCGTCCGTGGACTGTACTCTAGCTGGTGTCCACAGTTCACCTCTTCCAAAATTTCGCACCCATACTGGTTCCCCTGTGTGGACAGGATTGTTGGTATAAGTGTCGTTTCGATCGTTGACTCGTGATGGTGGGGGTACGACCGCATTATCTAGCCTTGAGCGCAGCTCGTATCCCATTAGCAGCATGGCCGGGGTCTTGCCACCTGCGGAAGGTGTCCGACGGTACTGATGCAGCACCCTTGCTAGACGAGTCTGCAGCGACCCTTGCTTGTTTTTTTTAAGTCCCTGTTTCACTGTACGGACGGCGCGCTCCGCCAGCCCATTAGACTGGGGGTGGTAAGGTGCCGTACGAAGGTGAACGATGTTATTGAGCCGCAGAAACTTTCCAAACTCTTCACATGTAAACTGTGGGCCATTGTCAGATACAATGGTTTCTGGCAACCCGAAGGTGCTAAATACCGTTCGCAACGCCTCAACCGTAGAAACCCCATTGGCACTTTTTATGGGCACCGCCTCAATCCACTTCGTGTGTGAATCTACCACAACTAACAACATAAAACCATCCACTGGTCCCGCAAAATCGATGTGCAATCTGGACCAGCGTCGCCCCGTCTCCGGCCACGGAACAGGTGTTTGTCTAGGTGGCATCGGTGCGGCCTGCACACAAATATGGCACGTCTTTACGAGTCGCTCAATATCTTGGTCAATGCACGGGGACCACAGCATTGAGCGAGCTAGCGTCTTCATGGAGCCCATTCCCTGATGCGTATCATGCAGTAGTCGTAGCATTGCTGGTCTGGCAACCTGCGGCACAACCACGCGATGGCCCCAATACAAAAGCCCATGGCTAACAGTCATCTCGTCTCTCCTGTCAAAGTAGGGTTTTAAATGGCTGTCCTCTAGTGCTAGGCGAGAGGGCCAGCCTTCCTGTACCCACTTCCGCACCTTTGCGAAACCATCATCTTCCGCCGTCAAAACGGCCAACTGCTTAGCCGACAAGGCGCCATCGTTGAGGCTTTCAGTGAGGAGAACATACTCACAGCCATCCTCGTCTTCCGCCGATTCAGGGGGTGCTGATCCAGACGCTGGAAGCCGGCTGAGTGCGTCGGCCGGAATATTGGCTTTGCCGTCCTTGCGCTGGATGACGTAGTTGTAGGCCCCCAGCAGCAGAGCCCACCGTTGGATCCGCCCCGCGGCCATCGCCGGTACGGCCTTATCAGGATGAAACAACCCCAACAAGGGTTTATGGTCAGTCGCGAGCGTGAAACACCTTCCCAAGAGGTATGTTCGGAATTTCGACACACCGAACACCAAAGCGAGGGCCTCCCGCTCTAACTGTGAATAATTCCGCTCGGCGGCTGTGAGTGTGCGAGAGCGGAACCCTATGGGGCGCAGGACCTCCTGGCCAACATCGTGAGACAGTACGGCGCCAATGCCCAATGGTGACGCGTCACACTCAAGAATTAACGGCTTGTCTGGGTCAAAATGCGCCAAGAAGTCAGCTTTTTTGAGTTGGGTCTTCGCCTCGCTAAACGCGCGTTGCTGTCTGGGTCCCCATTCCCACTTTGCCTCCGCGCGGAGAAGCTCGTACAACGGCGCCATGATCGAGGACGCGTTCTTGAGGAACTTGTGGTAGTAAGTCACCAGCCCTGCAAAGGACCTTACTTCGGCTACTGTTCGGGGCGCCCTAACTTGGAGGATTGCATCTATGTTTTCTGTCTTAGGTTGCACCCCTAGATTGCTAATTCGGTGCCCCAAAAAGTCCACCTCGGTCTGTCGAAACTTGGACTTCCCTGGATGCACCCGTACCCCCGACTCACGAAATCTTTGCAATACTTTCCTAAGTAGGGTGCAGTCATTACGTTTCTCAGCGATAATGACGTCATCCAGATAGACCTGGACTCCCGATAGGCCTTGAAGAATCGACTCCATACGCCGCTGGAACAACGCTGGTGCTGACGCGATGCCGAATGGCAGACGAGTAAAACAGAATAGCCCTTTCTGCGTATTCACGGTCGTGAGTAGCATAGATGCCTTATCTAACGGGAGCTGATTGTACGCATCGCGTAAGTCGATCGTAGTAAAAACTTCGCCTCCGTTCAGCGTTGCAAGAATATCTTCCACTCGCGGAAGCGGATACTGTTCAGTGCGACATGCTTGATTAACCGTGATCTTGAAATCTCCGCAAAGGCGTATGCTACCATTACGCTTTACTACCGGCACAACAGGCGCTGCCCAATCGGAATGGGGAATTGGGATAATAACGCCCGTTTCCACTAACCGGTCAATTTCTGCCTCTACCTTTGAGCGTAAGGCGTACGGCACTTGACGTGCTTTACAAAACTTCGGAGCTGCGTCCGCTCGAGGCTGAAGGTGGACTGGCGGCCCCTGAATGAGGCCCAGCCCTGGCTCGAACACTTCCGCGAATTCGTCTAGCAACCCCTTGAGATTGACCTTGTCCCCGAAACTGGAGGCCGAAGGCTCACCTTCTGTTGCTACGCTGAGTACCGGCATCTCCAGCAGGTCGAATGCGTGTATGAGGTCGCGTCCACACAGGTTGGGGCCGGAGCAGCCCAGGACAGTCAGTGTTCCTTCCCTGGCTTGGTCTCCCAAGGCCACCTTGAGCTTCAGCTGCCCGCGCACTGGTAGTTTTCCGAGGAAACAAGTCAACTTCAGAGGAGAATCCTGGAGGCTCGGCCACGCAGCTTTGTGCCGCATGTAGGTAGGCCACGTGATGACCGACACCGGAGACCCCGTATCGAGTTGCATGTTGACAGGCACGCCCCCCCAGTCGAAGGTACCCGCAATAGGCTGAGTGGTCTCGATGTGCCCGACGTGTTCCATTGACGCCCCCAACATGAACAGGCCCTCTGTTCTGGTATCCCACTCTTGTTCATCCCGCGGGGCCAGTGCATTGACGTGCTGTGGGGTTGGCCTTGTTGACGCGGTGACTGGTCTGTCGGCGCGACGGAAACAAGCCTTGGCGATATGACCTCGTTGGCGGCAGTTGTAGCATTGCGCTGACCGAAAACGGCACGCGTCTGGCTGGTGTCCCCCTCTGCCACACCTGGAACACGGCGACTCAGTCTCCCGCCATTTCTGCCTTGCCGTCCTGCTTCCCACGGCGTGCACGCCCCCATCCTCTGTCGTGGCGCGTTGCATTTCCTTTACATTTTCTTCCGCCATTTCTGCTGCTACGGCGACTTCCTCGGCTTCGGTTCTCGTCAAGAACGGCTTAGCCAAAAGTTGCCGACGCACCGTTGAATTTTGGAGGCCGCAGACTATCCGATCCTTCAGCATCCGGTCCAATGTGTCCCCGAAGTTGCACGTGTCTGCTATTTGTCGGATGGCCACAACGAAGTCTCTTACCGGTTCCCCCGGCAGCTGGTTGCGGGAGAAGAACTTATACGACTGGGCCGTTTCGTTCAGTTTTGGCGAGAAATGTTGCTGCAGAAGGCTGACCACTTCGCTGTACGGAAGCTCATTTACCTTTGCTGGAGCACCGCGTCCGCTGATGACGTCCACGGTGTTGGTACTCAGCGCTGCGACGAGTAAGGCGCGTTTCTTCTTCCCGTCTGTCACCCCGTTGCCTTCGAAGAACGCCTCCAGACGGATTTGGTAAGCGGGCCATTTGTCAACGGCCTCGTCGAACTGCGGCGGAACTGCATAGCTGACCATGTCTGCCGACAGAGCAGCGGAAGATATACTATCGCATCGTCGTCGCCACTGTTACGACGCCGCAAGAACGTGACGATAGCGGCTGGTAATCAACGTTTATTCGTGCGCAGCTTGCGCTTTATATGGTAGACAGGCAAGGGGAAGGCGAGAGGGAAAGGGAGAGAGAAGGTGGAAGATAAGATGACAAGCGCCACTGTGCTTGTGGCGGCGTAGCCGATCTGCAACACTATCCCCCGGCAAACACGACATGCATTTTCCCATCCGTTGGTTACTGGTTCGTCAGACCTACTCTGGTTTCAAACCTTTAGGCCATTTATGTGGGCTTGTTTTCATGTTTATTTGTATTTTCAAAGTTAAAAATGTGCGAGACTGGTGATGTTACCGTAAAAAAAATGCTCCCCTAAGCTGAACTCACTATGACTTCCGCATTGTAAGTAGTCAGCGCGGTATTCACACGGGGAAGAAATACTGGGAGGGGGAGTGCGTGACATCAACGGCAAACGCAGTTCTCTCCTTGGCTTCATTGCTCGCACCGACGAGGCGCTGGGGAGGGAACATCAGCATTTGCGGTGCAATTTATCAGTTTCTACTCTTCATGTCAATGCAGACGAGTTAAGCAGTTTGTAGGCTCGACACCGAGTTGCTTCTCGACGTAACGTTGTTAAAAGTAAGCCTATCTGCCGCCAAATTGGGAACTTCTCTACCACCCAACCGTCAAATGCGCCGCACTCCGGGGAGAAGTCTGCAGGATTCCTTCTTGCTGTGAATACCACTTTAGTAACGACTTCCGCCGAGCCGAACTGGGCAAGACAGAATGAAGGACGGTCATTCTTTGGTTGCCATCGATTCAACCTTTGTGGTGCAGATGCAGGTAGCCCCATTAAGGCTGGTTCACAAACCTGCATCTGCTTGGGACTGTGCGCCTTAATCTCTCTTACGAGAGAACATACTTTGTGCTATCTAGCGAGTAGATAAACTTTCGGCATTTCCGTATATTGCCCACTTTTTTCGCACATGATTCCTTTCTTTTTGTTCAAAAGACATCTGACAATGTTACAAACAACCATTTCTCGTACATTGTACATGCATTTGATCTCGCAAATCCTGAAAAACCTGCGCTCCAGGGAAATGCAGTTCCAGGGTCGTCTCATAGGTGGCTGTAGCATGCCACCGTTTTCACTTGTCGTGAACAATCGCAAGAACTCGGTCGTGAGGAAATGGGATTGCGGCCTTTGTGCAGCCGTTTCCGACCGACATGTTGAGACTGAAGAAAGGCCAACCATCTCGCAGGTGGAGCCCAAGGAGAACGCTGCCATTGCCTGCGGGGCCAACGGAGCGAGGCAGGACTTAAAGGCGCTGTCCGGGGGCGAACGATCCTTCTCGACCGTCTGCTTCGTCCTGGCCCTGTGGGACACCATGGAGTGCCCCTTCCGCATCATGGACGAGTTCGACATCTTCATGGTACGTTGTCCGCCGCGTCGTGGGAGGGTACGGCAGCGATGCCTACGACATGGCTCGACCTGAATCCGCGGTCGCTCTCCTCAGAAATTATACACAAGACATGGTGTTTGATGCAGACGTCATGACGAGATTATCTGCGGGCAGCCGTTGCCGTACCTCGTATAAACACAGTTCAGTTTTGCTCTCGTTGTCGTCTTCGTCGTCCGCCTGGTACTAGTGCTTTCAAATTTCTCAAGAACGTAACATCATAACAGAAAGTTTGTTTCGAGGCAGTGACAATTTCTTTTCTTTTTTCACCCATCCACGACCGTTTTTAGGACATGGGCAAGCGGAGAGTAAGCCTGGAGATGATTCTGGAGATGACACGGCGGAAAAGCAACGGCCAGTTCATCTTCCTCACCCCCATCGAGATGCCGTCCATCGACGCACTCCGCTCCGTCAACATGATGATGATGCCGGAGCCGGCCAGGAGTCGTCCCTCCAACTAGCCGACCATATCTGGTTCGAGTTTGGGTGTCCACGAAAACCGGATTCATACCCAAACTCTAAAGGGGTTGACGGCCCCAAACTTGTTGAAAACGTTATCAACTCTTCGACCATTCTTTTAATTTCGAGATTTATTTTTAACTCCTTTTAACCAACTTCGAGGCAGTTTTAGCAATGCACATCTCGCACGGTGGCTTCCTGCTTCAGTCGAAGTCAATCAACGTGAACCTCGAACTTGGAGTGTCATCGTCCTCTAACTCTTTGAATTTCATGTGGAACGCGACGGTTCGGGTGGTCATGTAGTTTGTCTGCTCTAGTCCAGCAAACATCCAGTGGTTAGGAGTCTAGTGTGCTGTTGTATTTTCTTTTAACTTTTATCAATGGCACGTCTTTTGTATCCAGAGTATATTTGTGTGACACATTGCAGCAAAGACAGTTGCAAGGTGAGTGCTTCTCTAACTTAATGTCTGCCTTTTTTTTATTAATCTGGAGCTATCAAAAGTTATCAGGAACTATCATGCTACAATAGCAGTAACCATGCTACCTCTTATTCCTCGATTATGCTACACCAAGTCGTCCGTGTAGCACCTTTGTTTCTCACATGTCTAGATATCATCATTTGTCAAGCCAGCTTTTGTTTCAAATTCATCTTCATGTTTATTCGTGACTTAACAAGTTCAGCAGCCGATTTCAAGTTTGTTTCTGTTGTAGTGGTTGCAACCGTGTATAGATATATGATAAAAGTTTTATAATGTCTAGGCTGGTTGCTCTGTCATTTCATGAGGGTGTTGTGGAGTTGATTGAAAAAAAAAAAAAAAAACTTTCGGCCTTTCCACTCTTGTGAAGAAGGAAGACCAGCGGAGCTGTACTTGATACACTGCCGCAACGCGCATGCGCCCGATTCCCGCTTCTCGTCAGACACGCCGCCGATCATGGATATGTCTCCGGCGAACCAGAGTCGGTCGCACACGGCGCACGTCACGCCAAGCGGGTTCTCCACGAACTCCCTCCGAAACCTCGCCGTCGCACCTGGGAACTGTTCAGCCGGCGTGAAGTGCAGTCGTCGCCGGTAGAGATGCGGCAAACGTTTTTCGAATCGAAGTTTCGATGATTGAATCAAGCGATTCGAAAGGTTTGAAAGATTTCGATTTTTCGAATTGTCTATATCGTAAGATTCGACGGAAGTCGAATTTTCGAACTTGTTAAGCTAAGAAGTTCGACGCTTTTCGAACCGTCGAACTTATTACGCTAAAAAATTTGATCTTTTTCGAACTTATTGCGCTGCAATGTTTGATGCTTGTCGAACTTCCAAACTTGACTGGCCAAAAAATTCGATGAATTGCGACTTTCGAACTTATTTATGAAGATAATTAGAAAAATTTGTCGAACTTTGAAAGATTGGCGGACGGTTTCATTTAAATTCAAGTAGTGAGGTACATTCGTAATAACTTTTTTTTCTCGAACTTCTACATGCGGTGCTGCGTTCCTTACGAAAGACAATGTCGTTTGTTTCAATATTCTGGCATGCTTAGTTTTAAAGAAATAAATTCCCGAAGGGCCGAGGAAGGACGACGGGTTTTTGACGATTATTGTTTGTGCCAGATTTGAAGCGCGCTGTAGCCGAAGCTATTTATGGTAGAGATGTTATACTTCTTTAAGGATGAGTGCCGTCTTAAGATGTGATTATTGTTATTCAACGTTAGTTTCAAAGAAATGTCGAAACATGTATCCACATGCAATTATGCCCTAAACTTGATATTTATTTTCGTCTAAGTTGTTTTAGGTATCGCATTTAAATTAACACCACAGACAGTACATATCATTGCCATCTGCAGAATACAAAATAATGTATTGTTTTTTCACGTTAAGGAATAAATTAACTCATGGGAGAAGATTTCTAATAGTGTTCAAGTTTGGCACGTCATTAAAAGAAAACTTTTTTTTTTCGCTTCCCGTTCCTGGGACGTGTTTCTTTTAGCCTGTACACATTTTGGTAAAAGATACAGTCGACTTTCATTAATTCAGTTTCTCTTAATTCAAACTTGTGGATAATTCAAACTAACATGCAGGTCCCATCCTATGTGTTTTAATTAAAACTTCGCTTAATTCAAACAAATTTTCAGTCCCCCTCGAGTTTGAAATAATGAGATTCGACTGTACTTGTTTCGAAGTTCTGAACCTCTGAATATGCAAGAATACAACACTTCCGGCGAATTCTTGATAGTTTTTTTTTTTTTTCTCCAGGTTTTACAGCGCAGCTCTTAGGGGCCCGTTTCCGGCTTGAGCGGCGTCGGCGTAACCGCGAGGTCACGTGACCCGCCCGAGGTCACGTGACCCACCCAGGTCACGTGACACCCCTAGGTCACGTGTCTTCTGGGGGTCACGTGACCCACCCAGGTCATGTGACACCCCTAGGTCACGTGACCCCCTGAAGTCACGCGACCCCCTTGAGGTCACGTGACCCCCCTAAGGTCGTGTGACCCCTTCAGGTCACGTGACCCCCTGAAGTCACGTGACCCCCTGAAGTCACGTGACCCCCTTGAGTTCACGTGACCTCAAGGAGTCACCTATCCCTCAGTATGCTTCCATCTTCCTCCTCAAGAGCTGCGGTCTAACCGGCGTTACAGGGAATTGTAAACGGCTTTCATTTTTATCCCCGCATTCTTTTTTTTCTTCTTTTTTTTACTATTGGCACAAGTATTTAGGTCGAAAAGACTTAGCTTTGAACTTCCGAACCACTAAGCATGTGACGGGTAGTGCCCTCTGACAACGAGTTTCTAACAATGACCATCTACGCAATCTTTTATGCAGTGAAGAGCGACAGTAGCTATACATATGCATAAATAATTTCAGATTAAAATAAGCTTTCCCCGTATTGTTTTCTTTAACAGTCCGAAATATCTGGAAGGAGGGAAAGGAACTGAAGCCCCCCCCCCCCCCCCCCCCCCCCCCCCCCCCGCTCCACTATTCTCTTTCCCCCCGTTTTTCCTCTTCCGACGCCACTTGTATGGTATGACGCTCCTCGACCGCGAGTTGTGTCGGCTTTTTGCGAGGCGATTCCTCCGTCCCAGAAAACAAACCTCCAGGACAATTACAAACTTAAATTACTATATGCCAGCGTCACTCGGGCGGCGTTCGATCGGATTACTACCAGCGTGCAAGGGGTGGCAAGGTAGTTTGCCAGGTCGCTTCAAGGTTTTTCTGAGCCTCAACCTACTGCTCGCCCCTGCCCGTTTCGAACTGGATGAGTCTCGTAAAACAGTGTGTTCGTG